ATTTCAAATTATTGTTTTTTCGTTTTTGCACACATCATCCCCTCCCCCCCTCCCTGGAATATTTTTTTATATATATTTTCAATTTTAGTTTTTTCATCTTTCGATTTAAAGGTTCGAAATTTTACTTGTTCCAAAGTTATGAGTTCGGAGGTTTATGTGTTTGAAAGTTTACGGGTTTAGAAATTATAAAGTTTACAGATTCGAAAGTTCGCGGTTTCAAAAGTTTAGTGGTTCGGAAGTTTATGAAATTTGGGTTCGGAAGATTGTTGGTTTGAAAGTTTATGACTTCATGTTTATTATATCTAAATTATCTATAAATACTCTTGAGAAGTTATTTTCTTTAATTTGCGTACCAAACATCAAAAAATAAATAAGATCACTACCTGTTTTCCAAGAAAACATTTTCCACGAAAAACATTTTCCTTTATACCAAACACACCCTAGAAGTTTTCTCATTTTCTATTAACTCATTTTGAATAAAGCTAGAAACCAGAGCATTTCCTATGTGTCCGTTCTACCCAAACTTCAGGTTCCACAAATACAGTTTCCATCCCAATCACCACAAACATCGTACTTATGTATAATAAATACTCATACGAAATGAAAATACACATACTTTTTTAATTGTGATATGAAAATACACATACTTTTTTAATTGTGATACTGTTGCTTAAGAGGGGTTTGAAACAGGCTAAGTTGCTCGGATACAGGTGTGAGTAACCGACACAAGTGCGGATCTAGAGATCGGATCTTTCGAGATATAAATTCTAAGATTCGGGGATACGGATCCTAGTACGGATATGGATGCGGGGATCCGGCTAAACATAATTCAAAAAAATTAAAAATATCTCTAAATTATGAGAAATTTTGTGGAATACTTATGTATAACTTGTAAAGTGTGGATTTCTTTTTCATTCTCAAAATGTAGATACGTAAAGGATTGATTTCCTAGAAAAGATGTGCTATTTTCTTCAAATTTATCCTAATTTTGATTCTAATTTTGGGAATCGAATTGCATTTGGTCTCGAATTTTTCTGTCCGTCATGGTAAAAGTACCCAAAATTGTTTGATCAAATCCAATAGGGATCTCATACCCACACCCATACTAGTGTCGTGTCGACACGGGTGCGGCACCTACACTGCCATGTCGGAGCAACTTAGGAAACAGGTCAAAGTTAATGCTATCAGCTAACAAAATATCCAAATCCATTTTAGGAATAGTGACATGATACTGCGAATGAGGGGTTTGAAACAGGTACAAGTTATTTCAATAGCTAAAACAAACAAAAACACTTCACTCACGGATGCATGTTATTAATCCAATAGTAATAATGTGAAGGACAACTTTAAAAGAACAAATGAACTCAAGATTTGTCATAAATGGACTCTTGGAATTAGGAAATATGAATCATAGGGAACATACCAGATTGACTCTTGTGATAAATTTTGACTCTTGGAATTAGGATAAATTGACTTTGAGGAGACATACAGGACCCCAATATATATGCATGACTAAATGCTTCCTTCCGGCTGTTTATCCCAATTTTTTGGGACAAAAACCAACCATCAAACACAAACAATTAGATGGAAAAATGGTTGACCTTTTCGCCAATACACATGAACCTGTCCTTATAATAGGGGAAAAAGTGCTATTTAATCGCTGATGCCCCGTAGACAGAACAACCGGTGTCTAGTGAAAGACGCAGAGGGCTCCCCTGTTCTACTGGATCACTGGAATATGCTCTATGAGGTAGAAGGATATCCCGGAAGAACAAATTTGCTTCTTCCGTCTCCTGCAGCAAATCCACACATTAGGTTGTACAAATATTATCATTCGCAATCCGATAATAATACAACTGAGGGACTATCAGTGAGAACCACAACCACAGTACATAGGCGGACAAAGTATGCTTCACACCCATGTTCAGTTAAAGGATTTGCGATATGTGGTGTACTTAATGAGCAAGTTAAATGGCAGAAATAGATTCTTATCTATAGTGCTTCAAAGTAACAAGAAGTTTAAAATTATCTACTTACTCATGCTTACAACTGATAACAGTACAAAAGTAACATTCTTCACATACAACGTAACACGCAATCAAACAATCCAATACTGATAACATAAGAGAGTATACTCTTCAACTATGAAAGTAAGCGACTGTAGAGTTATGATATATAGGTTGGAAATAGGAAGTCCCAATATATATGGAAAGCTAGGCTTACCTCTTTAAGCAAGTAGAAATCTGAAGAGAAGACAGGCCAACAATCCTGTACAGTATGATGCTTCTGCAATCTGCACTGTTAAACCGATTTTCATGGAGAAAACCACTGCCAGCAGAAATATAAGTTTGAAACAAAGGTCTTAGTCACTCAGTACACCTGAGTATGCGTCTTACAGGAAAGAAAAGGTAAAAAAGCTACGATGTCTAATACAAGCATACTCCAGATGTCTAATTAAATATGTTTATCCTTTCACCTTAGCAAGTGATACGAATAGAAGCTCCAGGTGTATTTCATGTTTAAATAAGTGTATAAGTTTTAGATTCATCACCTGGAAAGCAATATCACAATTTAGCACAAGTTAGTGACCAAAAAAGAGAACAAAGGCACATACTGCCTGAACAAATCAGTTTAACTGAGGTAAAAGGGAAAGTTGAAATAAACAAGGGAGTAATGATGGTTGGCCAATACATATCTTGAATCAGTAACAGAGACAGAAGATTAGGTGACAAATGATACCCCGATGTTTAGGAGAATTAAGGATTAGATGGCATCATTTTTACCAAGCAAGAAGATTCAGAAGGACAAGCAATTTGCCTGAGAAGAATAACCCCAATAGCTAATAGACGTGAAGGCAACTGCATCGCAGTAGCCGTTAGACTAAAGCACAGACATGAACGAATCTCACAATTATAAGTCAATGCAGCACAAGCATAACTAAGCAATTACGATCAGTACACTTCTTCAAAGCGCTCTCTTGAGCAACCTTAAAGAAAAAGATATCATATGGCACACCTCCTACTCAAACCCCACCCTCCAGAAAGAAAACCCCAACCAGGAAAAGATGACAATAAAATGAGCAATATCAGATAACTCAAACTAAGAAGAATTACGCTTTATTCAAAACCTTATGACCAACTCAACAAGCGCCTCAAAAACGCACTAATGATCAATACAAAATCAATGAGAGAACAGAAACATCTTGCAAAAAGAGAGGGGGAAGGAGGCAGGGGGCATTTTCTAAAACCAAATTGCAGAAGCAATTAATAGCAACAAAGCATCCACCATGTAGAGGGGATAAAGCCTTCTCATTTATATAACCAAGTAAGAATTACATAGCGGGATATCAATAATAAATTCATAGTCATCACACAATCTACTACCTTCTATACTAACAGACATCTATTACATTACAGCACAACTCAAGAGTTTCCTTGTCCAACAATACAACTCTAGGAGACTTAAAATCTTCTTAACAGATGTAACAATACACAATCAAATATTGGCATAAATCGGGGAAAATCTCAAAGTGAGATGATACAAATTGAATAATGTGGAAGATTACATTAATGACATAGCCTATCTCTGAACATAATACTTGTAACAATTACCACCAGCCGATTACCTTAACATACACCCTGCAATTTAAATGAACATTGGCTACATTGGCTTAACCCAACTTCTCCTTAGCTTTCTCGCACTCCTCCAACTCCTTCAACCACAAATCACCAAATTCACAATCTTTCCAAGCCTCAAACCATGGTCCACCAAGCGTATAGTGAATTGCCTTAGGAAATGTGGCGGGATCACCCTCGACAACCTTATTATGCCCCACGAGAAAGTTCCACACAAATGGCACCTCCCCAATCTCCTTATCCTCCAACCACATGAATCGATGAAGAAATGCCCCCGACTCAGAATTCACCACCTCAGGTGTTAATGCCCGGTTCTTGGGATGTCCACAGTTATATAAAACCATGGATGACCAATTCTTCCTAGGATAAACCGTTTGCAGTGCGCCATCCATTTTCGTAGTCTCTTTAGGAGTATAATCATGTTGTACACACATTAAAGCATATTTATCATCAACCAAATCCCTCAATTCTTTAATGTCCCCTAAGTACAAGAAGTCACAATCAACAAACATAGCCCATCCCTCAAAATTTGCCAAGTGTGGTGTCAAGAAACGTGAAAATGAAAACTCAGTGCTTTCTAATTTCCCTCTTTCACGCCAGTACAGGCCTTGTTGCCTCAGCTCAGATTGCTTAATGGGGGTGATCTCAAGTGGGATTGATGATCTTTTTAAAAGGGAGTGGCGACAAACCTCATATGCCACATCTTCTCGTGGATCATAGCCTATGAAAATCTTGAATGCCTTTGAATTTGTGCCATTTGTTGAATGAGCATTTCCATTGCCATTGGCCATAATGGGATCAGAAACAACAAAAGGGGTCTCAGATTTCTTTACATCTACGCCATTTGAGTGCAAATCCTTCACCACCGACGACATTGCAGTCAAAGATTTCAGCTCTGTAAAATCAAGAAAACTTTTAACTCGCAGAAAACATATTCAAATCTGGAGGGGAAAAAACGTTGCATTTGGATAAATAATAACGAATCTGGGAGCATAAATATGACGCGAAATTGATTAAACTACAGAAATGTGAGAGCTTGAAGAAAAATTAAAAACTATACCTTGTGAGAGCGATATTAGATCTGGTTTGGACGGGAAGAGAAACAAGAAGGATTCTTTTTTCTTATTTTTGTGGAAGAAAAAGAGTCAAAGATTTGTTTCTGAGAAGTACAATAATTGTGAGGGATCCCGAGAAGGAGGGGAGAGTATTTATAAATAGCGGCTTTTACTGTTGTATTCACTACCGACAAATTTTTTCTATGAATATAGGGATTTTCGCTTTAGTAATTTTGCCTAATCTGTGGGAATTTTACGTTTATCTCTCACTAATAAGCTCTCGTACGACATATGCTCCAACCAATTTTAAAATTAGGAGGTGATGGAATTAGGATTTGAGTATGGTGGAAAATATACCTTTTTTTTATTTAATCAAATGTTTTGAATTGAAGCTATAATAATTTTAAACAAATCATAACATGAAGCTTTCACAATAGATCGTACAAGGCACGTATCTAAATTAGTTGAATTAGTGAATACTAGATATAAGCAGCTTGCCAAACAAAGGCTAAGAGAAAAAAGAACAAAAATGTGAATGGCATAATATCTACGATTGGATTCAAAAAAGTATAGGCCTCGAGCCTATTTCTTCTTCTCGAGTGAAATAACTTACTCTTGCTACGTGCGCTAGGGGGTCACACTAAGTCACTAACACTATATGATTTTTTTATACTTCCAATAAATTTTTAACCTATAATAGCACTAGTTAAGGTAAGCCCGTGCTCAGCTGTAACACCTTTTTTTTTAATTTAGTTTATCCTAAAAAGAAGTATCTTTTATATTAAAAAATAATAAATTTTAAAATTATTATTTTATTCTTAGTGAAATAATTTATAGCTACGCCTATAATGTATTTTAAAATACATTAAAAGTTTTTCCTTTTCTCTTCAATAGAGTACCCAATCAAATACCATCACGTAATTTAAAATAGAAAAAAATATGTATTTTTAATGTGGTGTACATAAAAACAAAATTAAGTTGTACATGCTATGTTACAATTACTAATATCGCATTATGCTTGTTAGGGCTTAATTGATCTGCAAAAAAATTATTGTATACTTACTTCACAACAAAAATAAGCTGAAAGACTATATTGTAACTAAGAAAATTATTAGGAAGTGACTAAATTGGAGTCGCTCATGTTTCTAGTCCTTGTAAAAATTAGGATGTATCATCAACTCTGGTTAAAAATTCAATACAATAGCCAGTAGACACGTATTTTGCTTTTTCTTGCTCGTTGTTTAATTTTATATATTACAAAGTTCGATTTCACATTTTTCAATTAATATCTAATTGCATTGAATTGTGATTTTTTCCTTTGTGAAAATAAACATTAAAGTTGACTAAAAAAGATTCAGCTATTATTCTTTAAAAGATTTTACACATCGCTAATCATGTCTCATGCCAAATTACATATTTTAGTTACTAAACTTTAAAATTTAGAATAAGTAAAGATATGATATATTCTTTTTTTATAATAAAAAAATGTTGATTCTCTCTCTTTCCTAATTGTGTTTTGAACTCTTGAATTAACTTTTTGCAACTGCTTGATATGTTTTTACTTGGATGTAGTTATCAGTCGTTGAAGTAATAATTTTCGCTATTAAATAATACTTTTCATCTCTTTTGCATAGATTTGCACATAATTCATAGTGTCATAGTTAACTAAATCGGCTATTGGTTAGCCCATTTTAAATATGAAAATTTATTTTTAAGAAATGTGAAAAGCTTTTATAACAGCGGAATATCTTGGTCAACACAACCAAAAAGTTTAATAGGAGCTACAGTAAAATGTATATTTGGCCAATAGAATTGCTCCGTGCTTTTTGCAATTACAATCATATCCTCTGACCCATATTCTAACCGGATGCAGCTCTCTGAAAACCGGAGACAGCTCAAATTCCGGCTTATTAATAGTAGTAATATCAGTTACCATTTATATTAATTTTGTATTATCAAGTAATACTTATCAAAAAATTACAATGGCATAACAAATAACTTGATTATATTATAATTTTTATAGAGTTCATGCATAGAACTTAATTCTATGTCCTTTTTCTCACAATTCATAATTCCACTCTTACTCGAAAAATATTGAAAAATAATTGACATTGCAAATAAAGATTAAGGGAAAAGAAAAAAAAAATCTTTAGTAATTTAGCTAAAATGCAGTGTGCAAGACACGGGGTTTTGGCGTTGGCATTGCAGATGGAGAGTGTCGACACGTGCTTGACTTATTGTTTTTCCATCTGTTGCAAAACAAAGCTTACAGACAAACAGTGGAAATTGTTATAAAATAAAGGCTATAAAGTAAAGACAAGTATAGAAAGAAACTGATATATTATTCGAATTCAAACTGATGTACATAATGAACTGNTGTTATAAAATAAAGACTATAAAGTAAAGACAAGTATAGAAAGAAACTGATATATTATTCGAATTCAAACTGATGTACATAATGAACTGAAATCTCTTCTATTTATAGAAGAAAAGAAGCTGCTGTGTAAGCTGCTACTATATCAGATATGGATAATCTTCTACTGAGAGCAATGTTTATCCATAACTGGGTACTGAAAGGATAAGCTTATTATACCCGGTATGAATAATTTTCTACCGGAGATAGTATTTATCCATAACTGGGTACTGAAAGGATAAACTTATTATACCCGGTATGGATAATCTTCTATCGGGGGTAATGTTATCCATAATTGGGTACTGAAAGGATAAGCTTATTATACCAGGTATGGATAATCTTCTACCGTGGGTAATGTTTATCCATTACCGGGTATCGAAGTGATAAGCTTCTTCAGAAAGCTTATTTCCAATAGAGTACTTAAATAGATAAACATATTTACGGTGGAGTCCCATATGGATAAGCTTCTTCAGGAAGCTTATTTACAACGGAGTACTAAATGAACATCCATAATATAATATATTTATAACACTCCCCCTTGGATGTTCATTAAAAGATAATGTGCCTCATTAAAACCTTACTAGGAAAAACCACGTGGGAAAAAATCCTAGTGAAGGAAAAAGAGTACACATATTTAGTAATACGCATTGCGGGCTGCCTCATTAAAAACCTTATAAGGAAAACCCTGTGGGAAAAACCTTAGTAAGGGAAAAAGAGTAAAACGCACATTTTACTTCCCCTGAAGAAAACCTTATTTCAAATATTTGAGTCTCCGCATTCCAATCTTGTATACCATATTCTCAAAAATTGATGTTGGTAAAGACAATCTGTTGGATTGTCACTTGAACTAATTTGATGCACATCAATGTCACAATTTTCCTGAAGATCATGTATGTAGAATAATTCTGGTGAAATGTTCTTCGTTCTATCTCCTTTTATAAATCATCCCTTTAATAGTGCTATGCATGAAACATTGTCTCCGTATAATATTGTGGATCTTTTATCACATTCCAACCCACATGTTTTTCAAATGAATCATTGATCTCAATCATATGCACTCCTTGCTTGCCGGTTTGAAATCGAGCTTTATGGGTATCAGATAAATAACCTGCATCTGCATTACCAATACGATCTGCACCACTTTTGTTAGCATTAGCAAGATAAATAAGTGCACCATCTATACCGAGATAGAGTATTTCAGGACCAAGGAACTCTTCATCCTCTTCTAGAGGTTGGAACAGATCCTTATTCACTTTAAGTGATTGAATATTCATTGGTGTACTTAATGGGTACACTTTGTCCATGTAAAAGTATTTTTAAGACCCTCTTGGAGCTCTTCCGGAGTTCCAATAAGATTTATGTCACCAACATAAACAGCAAGTGTAACAAATTTTGATGACATTTTCTTTATAAAAATACATGGACAAATAACATAATTTATGTAACTTTCTTTCAGCAAATATTTACTGAGGCGATTATATCACACGCGCACATATTGCTTTAAACCGTACAAAGATCTTTATAATTTGATCGAGTACATTTCTCAAGACTTTGAATTATATGCTTCGGGCATTTTCAATCCTTCAAGGATCTTCATATAGATTTAGCCAAATAAGTCATATAGGTTAAGACTTGTATCTAAATGGTATGATATCTTCAAGTGTCTGGACTGCTAGTCCGAGCCTCACAATCTTTTACAATATTGTACACTATATTGTATTGAATATATCGTCGACGATAATTTTGTGTCAGTTCCGAAATGACATAACTTGTGGAGATCTCATCACTTTCTTTATTTTCAGGTACCTGAACTTTTTCGGGAGTTTCATGAAATGTTATGTCGTGGGCTCTTCTAGAGCTTATTTCCTCCTCATTATGATCATTTTGATCATTAGCTCCTACTATTTTTCAAGGATTGTTACCTTTGGAACCGATTGGTCTACCACGCTTCATGCGTACAGTAAACTCTATCCTTCAGGGACTTTAATTTTAATAGGAGCATTTGCAGCTGAAATATGATATTTAATTTTGGATCAGCAAATGCTTCTGGCATTCGACTTGAATTATCTTCTAAGTGAGGATCATGATAATTCGATTCATATAGCATATTTTTCAACTGTTTATTCCATCCCCCAAATGTTAGAAAAACTAACATATATCCCCAATCATCTTTGGGAAACATATCTTTGTGTATTATGGTAGAGAAATTAATCATATACCACACAACAAAAGATAGTAAAAATATTTGGTTTCTGATCCTAAACCAATTGTGAAGGGAGGACTTATCATATATTGTTGATCTGATGCATACAAGTGCTGCTATATGCAATTTAGAAAATCTTAGACCAACACATGAAGCTTTGTTCTCATAAGCAATGGTTTAGCCATTAATAGGAGGTATTCAATGCTAAACCAGCTTGGATATAAACCAGCATTATCAAGATGAACTGTCTTGATTTCATAATCTGAAAATTATGCTCTTAATCGAGAAAAGCAATTCCAAATGCCAAGCTGCATGTTGGCAATAATTACACATGTAACCATCTCATATATGCACCTATAAGTGGTTCACATGATAGGTGAACGGACCCATATTCACCTTTTATATATTTCAGAATCAGGGGTCTAAGTCCCAACTTTAGCTGGTATAATCAATTCATTATGAGAACAAGNGTTTATCCATAACTGGGTACTGAAAGGATAAGCTTATTATATCCAGTATGG